CATATCAAAATGCACAAACTGTCCTACAATCTGAAATCGATGGCTAGGAAGTGATTCAGAATGTATTTCAGAAAAAATAAAACCAGTGGAATATTCTATTAGCTCAAAAAGTCTCAGTGAAATGCATTCCACTTACCTGTGAAAACCAACGTGAGGATTATTCAGAAAGGTTTTTTATTTGTTTTGTTTAGACTTAGAACCTGCTTTTCAGGAGCAAAATGGTAGAGCTTTAATCCTTAGGTAAAAAATTCCTAAATACATCATAGACTAGGATAATCCATGAAGCCAAAAGCAAAAAAAGAAAATGGAAAAATAACTTCCTCTACCCTTAAAAATACCCTCTGCAGTACACCATCTCTGTTCCTTCCCTTCCTCAGGCCTGACATTCTGTAGATGACCGCCCTTATTTGTCCCTACATGTTTTCCAAAATATAAAAGTGAAATAGAGTCCCAAGGGCACTGTACTTGAAAGGTTATGAGAGTTAGAGAATTTTAACCATGCCTGCCAAATCAGCAGATGGCTTGTGATTATAATTATATGCATCAATAAAACGAATAATCTTTACAAAATTTGAATTTCTACTAAAGTAAGGGATTTAGTAAGCAGATGCAACAGAATGCATTTTCTTTAACCCTTTTGGTAGACACTGGTATATTTCACACACAAAAAAAGATCAAGGGCTGTATACATAATGGGTTGTGTACTCGAATTTCTGCCCCCTTTCTAGAGTAGTCATTTTGTCAGCCTCAATCTTTTCTTGATTTCATTTTCTTCATGAGCATATTTCATCCTCACCCCTTTCTCACCCTTCAGAATAGAAATGTTAAGACTAATTCCCTACCATTGTTTGTTATTTGAAAGAAGAAAATTTAAAAGAGGTAAATACCTTCATTCTAATTCATACCAAATATACTGTAAAAACAAAAGAGCGCACACTCATGCATCTTCCTAGCTGACGGGTATTCCTTTACAAATTAGGTTTTCAATAACAAAATTTCTCATTTATTGTTTTCTTATTCTCTTTAATCTACATGCCAGGAATGAAAATACTGTTTATTCTATTTAAATAATTAACCATTTCATTTCAGTCTGCTTCTGCATAACACTGTAAGTCGAGACAACTAACTTTTGTCTCATGCCAAGCATGCATTCACTCATATAGAAACTGGACACAGACGGGGCATGCTTGAAAAAAAGGATGAGGCAAGGTTTACACAGTGGCCTTGTCTCATGCTTCCTTCATGAGGAAAAACTCAAAGTTTAGGAAATGAAACTGTCTTTGTTACTTTTAAATTTTCAAAAAGGTGGAGAAAATGTACCATCTCCATTTGTAGATTTATTTTGCAATGAAATCATGATGCAAACATTTTTCACAGAATACCAAGTGTAATTCTTCATCTTAAGAGCATATCAATTAATATATGTTTTACTCTGACAAACCAACAGTATTTAGGAATATTTGGAGAACATAAACTGTGTCAAGTACCTCTGTTCCTTCATATTTATACTGTATAAGTCAAATAAATTAAAATATTTGCATTTTAAATGCTATTATACTTTTGTAGTTAATACTACTTAGTATAAATAAGTCACTAATAAGACTTTGGATGCATTCACATTTTTGAGAGTAACTGTAGACACAAGGTAAACAAGACCAGAAATTCTTCTTAGCAACGAAATTCTCACTAAGTTGCAACTTAAATATACAGGTCAAACCTTAGCAGAACAAGTATTTCTACAATTAAATCTGAAGACTTAAATGAAAAAAGTAACACATTTGTACCTGAAAGCTTACCAATTTGATACTACACTTAGAGTTCACTGGAATGAAATTTTAAAATATTTAGCAGTCAACTAAGTTCAAGTTTCTTTAGTTAATGGAATAAAATATCTTCCAATCATAAAGTCCTGAAGAAGAAAAATTTTTTACCAAATCAAAGTATCAATTATAAGAAATAACCTACACCAAAACCTTATGAAATAAATCCCAAAGGGACAAAAAATAAAGATACTAAGTTAAAAAAAAATGAGGAGTAATCCTAATAGTAGATAAAGACTTTTGCTTTCATTAAGTACTTAAATTAGGGAATGAAATACGGAATTTCATTTCAAATTCTTTTCTGAAATGAAATGAAATTCAGTATTTCTGCTTATAGGAAGTTGAAGTTCAAATGTAATGAAATTTTAATATGCATTTAATTGCTATTAATAAAACTATGCATAAGAAGCCCATCAAATCACATACATCAATATACATTTGATATTTTTAACTTGTTTACCTTAGACTTGGTATGAGCACACAGCCACGTAAAATGGACTTTTCACAATCTTTCAAGGAATCTCACAAAATTGAGGGCTCTGAAAGTGAAAACATGAGAAAGAGGTCTGTACTGGTGAGGAAGGCATGGAGGGATCTTCATGTGATGTTGGCAGGTCCACCCACTGGTTCAAGCTCCAGGGGAAAGTTAACGCAGGAAAAGCTTTTTAAATACTTATATCACCTTATTTAATTTTAGCAGAAGTTATGACAAGAGCAAAATTTATCTACCCACCCCCTATCTAACAGACCAAGAAACTGAGAGTCAGGAAAGCTAGCTAACTCCCCAGGAACACAGACCTGGTCAGTGGAAGAACCAGGTTTCAAACACATGAACTTGGGAAGGGAGTAGAGCAGGTACTCTGGTTACTCTGTGTCACTCACATGGCACTCAGACGGCCTCACCTCCAGCAAACGTGTCATAGTTCTTTTCCTTAGGACTGGAAATGAGCCCCCTGCACTACCCACAGCAAGCCACACGATCCTTTGAACTTACAACACTCCTCTCTCAAATCAATCTGAATAAAAGTTCCATAACACAAAGTTTCCTTCTATCAACAGAAATGAAGTTCCTCCCGTTTCTTTTGAAGAAGAAAGTTAAACAGCAGGTAGAAGCATTTTCTTCGTGTATTTTCATAGTTAGATTTTTTAAAACATCTATTAAATTCAAGACCAATCTGATGCAAACCAGTTTCCATAAAGCAAAAGTAATGACCCAGGCCTTCTGATCTCAATTGCAACGCAGCCCGATTTTGCTTGGAAGAGTGACAACTATATTTCTGTGGAAGTAATCCCCCTCGATTTTATCCACAGTGATGCGAGTAATCAGACTTGGGTCCACTTGCCCAACCTTAGCTGCACTGAGGAGGACAGGAGTCAGACATGTACAGCCATCCGAAAGGACTGTGTGTTTTCTGAACATCTCATTCCTGTGTTAACATGATGAACACAAGCAACCACAGAAAAAAATAAACTATACTACATGAGATTCAAATTTAAAATGTTCAGTAGAGGAAGAGGACCTCATGGATCTACAGTGTCCAAAAGAAAGACTGACTGCCTAACTTGCATAACTCTGCCTTAAACTGGAATTGTTAGTGGCAATTGTAGCCATTTCAGACAGCTTGGGCTTTCCACGATTTCTACCCCATTAAAGGCCTGGTGATGAGATGACATATTCAAAATATCTGAATTGAGTAAAATCAAAGTACCTCTTGCTTACTTGAAAGAACAAGACACTGTTAGAACACTTTCTTCACAAAATCTATTTCCTTCTAAATTCTGGTTACTATAAAAATAATACTTAGAGTTCATAATACATAGTATATATTATATACTGTCCACATATATAAATGACTCATAAAGAAAATGAATGCTGGGAACACATTGGAAAGAGAAAAGTACTTCAAGACACAAAAAAAGTATGTGACCTCTGGGTCAGTGAGATCCCGTTCTAAACTTCTATTATGAATCTCCCATGAGTACTAATAGTAAGCAATCACTCTGTATCCTAATATTTCCATATTCTTATATAAATAAAAATGTTTCAGGGCAAGTAATACAAGTTTGGAAACCAGTTTCTGTGTAACACGGAGAGTTTTAATTCATGAACAGATGACACGCTATTCTAATATTAAATGACAATGTCTTCAAAAATTGAATCCTGACAATATTATGAATCCAACTATTTTAAAACATCCCACTTAACAATACTTTTTAAAATGTTTTTAATGAGAGCATCAGTGTTTATTAAACCATTGACAATCCACTTAGCTGACAGTCCTTAGAATAAAATACTGAATTTACCTGAATGCCGTGTAACAATGTCATTCTCTCTTGAACTAAACAGCTTCTGAGTACACACATGTAAAGCAGACAGACATTTCAGCAAGGCAGATAAGACTTTCCGGCAACTTCCTGTTGCCATATTTCTCTAAAAGGATCCTGCAATGTTAGAGCTCAATACTAACCGCATTTTTCAAGGGATACAGTACCCCCATGTTGCTCAGTGTCAGAGCTTATATTTTTCCCCCCAAGTACAGCAAGCAAATAACCACTAATCCTATTCAACATTACAGATCCACAACAATGATTTTATTTGCAGATTCAAGAGAAGTGGAACGCACAAAAAAAAGGAGCTTTCATCTCCTTGTTCTGTTGTTTTTGATTGATTGATTTTTAAGATACTGATCGAGGAAATGGTTATCTCACACATGTTAAATATAGTCTAGCGGACGGGACAATTGCATATTGACAAGAAGCAACTTCACTGCCCCCATTCACACCCCAGTTTCCGTTCTCTCTGAAAAGCAGCAGGACTAACTAAAATCAAAGTTACCTCATGCATCTGAAAGTTTTTCAAACCTTCACACACACCTGAACAGCCGTCCCTCGCAAAAGCCCCCTTCCTCCAGCCAACAGCCTGCCTTTCCAATTCAAGTCCCCTTGCATTCTGGAGGACACTCGACTTTGAAATGTAAAAACTTTTATGAAATGGCAAAAACGAAACGAGCGGAATGGCCACAGAAGAGCTTTGATCACTGAAGCAACGTTTCCAGAAGTGATAGCAAAACCCCTTCATTCTGACCTACTTGTCGAGCATCGGACTTGCCTTGCCACGGTTAGGCTAAGATTTGTTCAACTTCTCCCTGGGGCTTAATTGCCAGACTGACTTACCCGCACCTCCTGCCTTTGTTCTGCTCTCACGCTGACACCAGGGAAGCAGTGATGTAGAAGAAAGCAGGGGTGGGCCAGGGTAGTCCAGTGTTTGTATCGTTGTGTGGTGTGCAGGGACACTCTGTGATACTCTAGTGAGCTGCTAAGCTTTTTTTGTAGGCTTTGTGTCATTTACTTAACGACCAATCTCATTAGCTGCCAGGGTACAATGGGCTGATGCATTTTCTATGTACATACTCTACACAGTGACCCTCAAGGTTGCCGAAGGTCTATTTAATCAGTCAAATGCTGAATATATTTGCAGTAAATCACTAAAAAAAAAAAGAAAGAAAGAAAAAAAAAAATGAGACTCCTGAGGTATACTGCAGTCTCACTGTTTTAAGGGTGGTTACTCGCAGGTAATAAAATGCATGCATATCTAGCCAAAACAAGGGTAGAGCAGGCAGAGATGAATTCTCTGGTTGGAATGGGTGACCTTAATTTAAAAAAAAAAAAAAAGAACTTTCAGCATCAAAGATATTTTCTGTGTGCAAGGACCTCAGATTTGAAATTTAATTTCTGCCTTCACTTAATCATATTAGCAGAATCCAAAAGCACTGTTCCCTTTCACAGTTTCTCCGGACTGTCAGGTCACCCCCACCCCAGTTCTGCTGCCCGCCCTCCAACCCCCCAGCAGCCCGAGCAGCCTCAGGACTGGCAAAGTTGCCTCTCTGCCCTCTTTCCGTGACAAGGTAGAAACCCTTTTAACTCCTCTGAAAAATGAAATGCTGACAGCAGAGTGAATGACGACAGCTGTCCATAAGTATCAGGGAGCGCTCCATTGTCCAGCCAGTCCCTGGATAAAACGAATACTTTACAGCAGAGGCTGTTCGGCTTGGCCACAGAGTGTGGGGAGAAGCGGAGGAGGTCACTGGAGATTTCGCACACTAATTTAATCTGGGAAAAGGCAGGCTCTGCCTCTCCCCTGAACAGACTGGCAGCAGTCTGGGCGCCCACAGAACTATCTCCTTCTGCCTGTGCTCTATTTATTCCTTATCTCTGTTTACCAACCGCTAGGTCCCTTTCATTCACACCATGAGGCCGTTTTTCCTACTATCAGTCAGCAGCTGACACTGTGGAAGAGCCTCAAAGGCAAAAAAAAAAAAAGCCAAAAAAAAAAAAAAGATCAAAACTAAACCAAAGCTGTATAAACAATGCAACAGTACAAGTAAATGCATAAACCCTGATTCTTAACCCAACCCACAGGGTGCAAACAGAACCTTTAGAGCAAATCCAACAAACCCACCACAGTGAACTATGGCCACAGAGAAAGAATAGTCAAAAACCATTCATGAAATCACCATCCAAAATGAGGGGCTCAGATGGATGCTGATTCTAAAGCAGGTCAGGAGCATCCTTACCTCTATCGTGATCAATTCACTGTCACCCAGGACATATTTAACTCTCCCAGGAAGGTGAGCACCACACTTCTGAAGGAAAACTCGCTCCCATAAAAATGCCAGCAGATGGGAAAAAGATCCACTAATATGATTATGATTATCAGTTAAAGGGAATTCAACCACATTAACTTTTTCAATACCTCACCATGTTGGTTAAATTTAAACAGTTCAAGAAACTGAGCATCAAATCGCTATCATTTTTATATAAAGATACTAAAAGTTCCGTGCCATGCAACCAACTGAATCTTTTTTCCATGTCCTACGTCAGCATGATTAACAGAGAAGAAATGCTGGGAAAAGACAACTTCAAGTACAACTTTTTATCTTTGAAGTTTTTTGCAGCCTGTGAGTAAAAACAGAGGCTGGAACAACTGGTTTGAAATGTAGAAGGAGGAGAAAACAAAATAAGTGTTATTTTGAATGTTGTAACTTTTGAGCAAATATGAATTCTGAATCTGAAGGATGCTTACATTAATCTTAAGGACTAAGGAAGTTTGAATATTTTGACAAATGGGAGGATGCCAATTAATATAGGTAGTTCATTGGAGTGATTCAGGATACATATGATTTAGAGAATAAATAGGTACATATTATAAGCATAGACACACATTGCTACCCATGTACACACACACACAAAATGAGAACATGTATAATTTCTAATGTTCCCTAGATTAAAAAAATGTGACTTAGTTTAAATTTCCTTGAGTTTTTCATCTTTATCATTGAAATGATTGGGAATGATTGGTTATTCTCATAAAAATCAACACCGTATTGACTCCATCACTAAGACCTTTACCAAAAAAGGGAAGACAAAATGTGGCTCATTATCTTGGATGATCAATTGGACCAGATTTCAGTTTGTGTTTTCACCTCTATGCATTATGAGCAATGAAGTCTTTACTACTTCGGATCCTTTTTTCCAAATGAATTAATGAATTAAATTTATCCTTTCACCAGCTGCTAGGCAGCAGATGGAACCATTTCTGAAGCCTTGTTGAATTCAATCCATAAAACTCATTTCCTAGGATTAGCAGTCCAAAGTTTCTTTTAATGTTTATATACCGCTTGGGATTTTGAATTGCATGATGTTAAACTTTCAATTTAACTATTCCTTTTGCATTTCATATCAAACAATTATGATCTTTTAGATTTCTATAGCAGACATGGCAGGTCACATAAGGACAGGAATTAATTTCAAGAGCAGTAAAGTCACACAAGTTACATTTTTTGATGTTTGTTCGCATGGTCCTACTACCATGGAAACTATTTGCACTCTGCTTTTCTGTTAATGTAAACCTAAATAATTACATAACTAAGAGCTTATGATTTTTGTTTACTTACTCATAAATACTTTAAAGCTGCAACTGAAACATTTATTACATTATGGAAGCTTAAAGTTTTGCAATTGAATTGTAAGAGTAAGGTTGTTACATTATCTGCAAATAATTACTATATATACCCAGTTAATTTACCTAATAAGAATTTAATCCTGACCTTTTAAAATGGTAATAAGGCCAATTACACAGTGTATGTAGATATACATTTTATAACATCTAACTTTTTAAAGAGCATGCTACCATGGACAGCTCCGAGCATTTCCACTCTTTTCATTTGCACTTAAAATGTCTAAGTTAAGAAGAACTAAGAAACTTTAAAACTTACTGGTTGATGTTATAGCAGAATAGCAATGGCCACTCTTAAAAAAAAAAAAAGACTCCTTTAACCATAACTAAATTAGAATCTCCATAAAAGTTCCAATGTACTTTAAAAGGTTTTAAATACAACTACCTTATACTCTCCAAGGTACAGTATATCTAAATTTAAAATATGAAAGCTTTTAAGCTTAAAATGATGCAGTTTCTATAACATAAATACAACTAAAAAAGAGTGAATCACTCTTATGTGCAACAGTGATTTCCGCTAATTTGGCACAAGAAATCTATATTAATCTAATATTGGAGTAAGCCAAGAAGGCCACAATAATCACCAGTGAGTAATTGAATATTTAGAATAAGGAGAAAAGAGATCACTGGTAATCTTAGGTTACACACATAAAAGTAGGATAATATGCAGATGATATTTGCAAGGGGAAAAGTTAGGGAAAGTCTAATTTCAGTTTTATTTTAGACTATGAATTTGATCGTTTCCTGGTCCTTATTTACTTTTTCCCTAATATAAAGATTGTGTACACAATTATGCTTAAGATTTCTTCATCAATTCTTTTCTCTCGAGTTTTGCAGTGCTAGTTATTACATAAGGTAAGAGTTGGTATAACTTTTCTGACAATAAGCCACTTTCATTAAAAAAATATTGGAGAAGTTATTTTACACACTTTGCCTATTAGCTGCTTTGTTCTTTGAAATTGAAAGAGAAAAAGCTCACTATACCCCTTCAGGAGACATCTATTATTTCCACATGTATCAAAGCATGTTTAATAAATGCCTTGTTAGGATAAAAGGAACATGAGGCAAAAGACTGTTTATCAAGGTATTTGAAAATTTTCTCTTTCTTTTAGTAATATTTCATTGAATTCATCCTTCAACAAAATTTTGTTCAAGGTTCATATTAAGTCTTTCTCCTTCTTCAGCCTTTTCTAATATCACTCTTTAACTTTCTAAAGTGTCTCCTGATATCTGTATTTATAAAAAAATGAACTGTCTCATTTTTTAAGAAGGCTGCCCTGATTCAGTTCTCTAAATATTTAAAGACAAGATTATAAAGACCATACTTATTATTTTAAATATCTCTGGGACTTCAGACAAACTCTTTCTCTTATCTATAAACATGACTAGAATTTGTGACTTTCCAAAAAAAAATATGAAACATCTTCGATATTGGTAATTTGTTTATAAAAATAATCTATATTGTTGTGCTGACAACCCACTTAATGCCCCCACCCTGCCCCCTGCTTCCCCAGAAAAGATTTCCTCCATCCTAGTGAGATGTCAGATTTGCGATCTCAAGGACAGTTTTTGTGATCTCAGAAATTATTTCACTTTACTTTGTTTCAGAAAAAGAAGTGTACCAAGTATCATTTCATATCAAATATTCTGTTGCAATTTTGCACATTTCAAAATGTATATGAACAAAGACAATACAGATGCAGTATAAATGCAATTGCACCAAGATATTTTATTCTGAAATCCTTCTCCATGAAGATCCAAAAATCTTTTTTTTTTTTGCAAAAATTTAAAAAAGAGAGATAGAAAGGGCATTAAAATGTTGACCAAGTATCTACCACAGCAGAAACCAGAAACCGAAGTTCCAAACAAACATCAGAAAAACCATCCACATACTTCCAAACTTCAACCTTTAGTGGTATCATTTTTCCCCCCAGGAACAAGACTCAACATGACGACTTAAAACACAGAAACTTACTAAAATGCTGAGTGACTTAAACCTCCATGCTAGCAGTAACGCAGTTCCAAAGTTTTCAACTTACTTTTTTGTTCGCTTCCAAAACTTATATTTCTCTCCTCCCTTGTGTGCTGAACGGAAACACTAAAGCTGTTTCTTTGGAAGGTAGTTCCCATGATATGACATCCAGTGCCTTTGACTGCCGAGAGATAAGCACCTGCCTTGTGTCCCCTCTTTACGTCACACCTCCCTATTCAGACCTTCTCAATATGACTCACATTTGCACATCAACAGCCTCATGCGCATACACAGATTTTTTTTCGGCTCTGGGCCCAAAACTTTCACTTTAATTTTCATCACATGATTGCCGTGGCA